GAGGGAGAAATAGGGAGAAATGAAGAGAGAGGGAACCAAGAGGCTCAGAGGTGTTCCGTTGAGGAGATAGAAGTCGGCTGCCTTTGTCAAAGGCCGTTGCCAGAAATTTGAGGAACTCTATTCCGATCGTGGACGCACGATCTGGCCAGACATTATAANATTCAAACCGTTGTTTCTTTCGTTTAATTACAACTTCTCTCAATAAACTAGACCCCATTCTCCTTTCAAAGACACATTGTGTTGATCTAAAAGTATATGCTGTTACAAACAGTGTAGTTCATAGTATTACATACTTCTTTTAAATAACAAAATTTAATTTATTTGTATGAAACATTTGTTCTTGGTTTAACCGCATTTTCGTTTCGCCGCCGATAACCGTCGTTTTCATTTAAAGTAAATATTTTTTTTATTCAACCAAACTTGTCTCCGTGAATGATTAACATTGAATGATTTTACCCTACTTCTAAACGTGCATGCAGAAAGGTATTTAATTAAATCACTACAATTTCTGTTGGTTGAACCACAGAATATGGTCTTTAAAAGGGCAACCACATATTTGGTTGACATGACGAAATTCTTTCATTAATAATGGTTGATTAATCACGTCAAATATTATGATAGATTACCTACATCAAATGTTAAAGTGATTTGATACGCTCAAAATCACTTTAAATTCACTGAATATTGTTCGAGAAAAGTGTTCCTTTTATAAAAGTTTTCCCGATAAAAGAGAAACTTTGTTTCGTCAAAAATCTGTTATTATAGCATCCCTTGACGCAACTTCGCTCGCGACATGAACAATGTTTTGACAAAAGATCATAACTTCACTAATGAGAGAGACTTTATGGCCACTCGCCACCAAATGGATACTCTGCGAATTTCATTGACTAAAATAATTCATATTTCGTTCTTAAATTGGTCGGAAATCCAAGCTTCTTTGCGTCGTCAATAGAAAATCTCTTCTCCTATTACAATGTTCGTTTAAATGAAACATTTAATAAATTCAAATCAAGCAAATTACTTGATTACATCAAACAAATACGGTCAATCGACAAATATGTTTGAATGAAACTATATACTTGTTCGACTGTATAACAAAGAATAAATAAGTATCATTCAAACATATTTATTTTCAATCAAACAAATCGTTTCCTCGGTGCAATCAAACGATTTTTTAAATGAACCAAATTTTTTTCTGCGTATACGAATGCACGTCTACGAGTATATTTAGTATACCACATTTGAATAAAACTTCCGAAACATGTTTAATTAATTCATTATAGTTATTTTTTAACAATGCACATAGCACAATTAATGCATCATGACACGTTTTCTTTTGCACATTCAAGATTCCAGTGACGTTCATGTTTAAAGTCACAAATTTGTTGACATCGGATGTATAAATAAACGACCCGTGGAAATGAACTATGAATAACAGGTAGAGCTTTTCTTTCCTCCGTTTTTGATGAGTATGAATATTTAAATCCGTTTAAATCTCTCTGGTCGGAAAAAGAAACCCGATCGAAGGCCATTCGCTTCCGCAGCGAATTCGCGTGTCGATCAGCGCTTTCTTTGAGCGTAAAAATGTCGCGCGACCTGATTTTTCGTGTTCGATTCTAGGTGACCAAGTGCTGTGTACAATAACGATTGCTTAACTGCTCTGCGAAATGCCGTGCAAGCGCTCTAATTACATAACACCTTCCACGTGTTCTTCGCCGCGGTCGTTCCTTCATCGCGTATTATGAAGGAACCCCGCTTGGAGAATTCCGAAAACGAAGATCATCATCCTCATCGTATGCAATTCAATTTCTTCCTGAGCGATTTCTATTTTACGTCTGTAACGTATCGGTTTGCACAAATAGCTGCAGAAATACTGAAAATCATCATCCTCATCGTATGCAATTCAATTTCTTCCTGAGCGATTTCTATTTTACGTCTGTAACGTATCGGTTTGCACAAATAGCTGCAGAAATACTGAAAATACAGTACCTAGATATTCAACATTTCTTATACTGTATAGAAATAACGGAATGTTTTCATGAGCCATACTATCGAGCAATTCTCTATTAAAGCGTAACAGTAAAAATGGAGCACAATTTTGTCCATCTATGATCTTCTTTATTATCGCAGAAAACTGGAAAAGTTAATATATCTTTTTGTTTGCTATGTTTAAAAATATCAATAACATCTACACTGATTCTAGTGACATAATTGAAAAAAAATATATTTTTTTATTATGTTACTTTGGAATTACTGGTACTATGGAATAACTGGTAAACATTACAAATAACTTTTGAAACAAATTCTAATTTTTTAGGTACTTAGTAGTTGCGTAGGCAACAGACGTATAAGACATTTCTATTATCGCTACATTGCAGCAGTACCATTTGTTTCTGCATTGTTTTCTAACAGCAGAAATATCAAACTTTAAAATTTAAATTGAAATGTAAAAGTCGATTTTATGGTATTAATTCGTGCTATAATCGTAATTTGGATCTTTATGCGATGCAATAATTATTGTAGGTGTTTAGAGAATTCTTGTTGAAAAGGTAAACGATATCGTTAATATTGTTTTTATTATTTTTGCCAAGATATTTTCGGAAATCGGTTTAAATTTGTATCACCTTATATGAGGATGCCTAATAGAACGGTCTTTCATTTTTGCTCCCTAGAAGTAACTTGCGTACCTAACATAGTACCTAAAAACAGTTTTTAAAGGTGATACAAATTTAAACCGATTTCCGAAAATATCTTTGCAAAAATAATAAAAACAATATTAACGATATCGTTTACCTTTTCAACAAGAATTCTCTAAAAACCTACAATAATTATTGCATCGCATAAAGATCCAAATTACGATTATAGCACGAATTAATACCATAAAATCGACTTTTACATTTCAATTTGCTTTCAATTTACATTCCGATTCGTATTCATGAAAATATAACCAAACATTAATAATTATATTGGTTCCAGTTAAAATATTGCGTGGTTATTTAATATTCGATGTTCAATTTTATTTTAAGCGTTGATGCATTATTATCACAATCTTATAATCATGAATTATTTCAAAAATATAAATCTAAAACATATGCAAATGGATTACATTGTTTCATTACTATAATACAACTTTATACCGAATCATAATCGGTTACAATTCTCAGGATTATTTCATGCTGCGATCGCAATTTGGACCACCGCGCATTGGTGGTCTCGCTTAAACCCAAAAGAAGCGAATAATGGAGAAGAAGTGCAACTATCCGCTGCATCGGCGACTTCTCGAATCTCCCCCTCGCCCTCCAACGACTCGGTCCTTCCATCGCTTAAGGTGAAGTGAAACACGTTGAGGAACTTGATCGACGTCGATAAAGAAGATTTTTCTAAATGCCTACGTTGCCGACGTTCGTTTTTATATCGACAGATGTGTCGAATTATATTGGGTATTGTACCAAATGGCACACTCTGCCTGTCGTTTTCGTACAATAATTATAAAGAAATCGCAGTAAAACTTCAGAAATCCTCTGGATTCATGCTTTCTGGGGCCCTAATTAACTGCAGAGGGACCCCCTATGCCATCTGTGATTTCCAGGCCAATTAAATTTTCACTCCAAGACCTCGTATTACCATTGCTTTAGCATAGAGCGCATATAACACTTTTTTTGCCTTTATTCCGTTCAAATGCGAGTTTATCGACTACCAGAATATTCTAAATTGACATAAAATTGTCCTGACCCTTTCGATTCTCATATCAGAGCCTTCGATAATTGTATATTGATCGAAATATGAGAGCTCGACGCCATTTTGGTTCTGGTCTGGGCTAAGTTAAAAAATTTTGTCCAAAAATAAAAATTTTGAATGTGTCAGGACAATTCTTAGTTGATCAGAAGTGATGTGTCAAAGTTTCGGGCAGTTTGGTCTAATACCCTTAAAAAAAAGTGTTGTATTCGAATCGACTGATTTGAAGGGGTTTCACTTCACCTTAATCGTTCCTAACCGTGAAAATTCTGCACAGCGGGAAGAAAAATATACATTTTAAGAAATTCCAAACGATCTCTTTACGGATAACTGACAAAAGAGTTTCTTACCATGCCGTTTATCGGTTTAACAACTATTGTACAACAGAGTGCGGCAGTTTTCGGTAACATCGCGGAAAGTCAGCGAAAGGGGGGAGTGGAAAAAAATGGAACTATCCGGGGCACAGGCGACTTCTGGGATAGAGTCTGTGACGCAGCGCCGTCCTTCCACCGCTTAGCCGCACCCGACCTCGAAAATCCCACACAGCAGGAAGAAAAGCATACATTTTGAGAAATTCCAAACGATCTCTTTACGAATAACTGACAAAAGAGTTGCTTACCATGCTATTTATCGTTTTGACAAATATCGTACGACAGGATGCGGCAGTCATCGATAACGTCACGGAAAGTTAGCGAAAAGGGGTAACGGAAAAGGAATGTAACTATCTCGTGCACAGGTGACTTCCGGAATAGTCCCTGACGCAACACGTCCTTCCACCGCTTACCCGCACCCAACCTCGAAAATCCCACACAGCAGGAAGAAAAACATAAATTTGGAGAAATTACTAACGATCGCTTTACAGAGAACTGAGATAGGAGTTACTTACCGTGCTATTTATCAGTTTGGCAAATATTGTACTACAGGGGCGGCAGTCATCGGTAATGTCGCGGAAAGTCAGCGAACAGGGGTAACGGAAAAAAATGGAACTATCCGGTGCACGAGCGACTTCCGCGATAGTCCCTGACGCGGCGCGGTCCTTCCACCGCTTGGCCGCTCCCGGCTACGCTCCCGGTTCGCTCCGACTCGTTCCCGACTCGTTCCCGGCTCGCTCCCGGCCCGCTCCCGGCTACGCTCCCCGCGGAGGGCTGGTCCCTCGGCCGGCCGCGGCTCCGCCTCCGCCCGCCAGTTCCACCGCCCCCGAGTTCCACCGCCTCGTTGGCCGCGCCGCGGCGGTCCCGCAACGGCCGGCTTCAATCTCGGTTTAGTTTCGTTTCGTGCCGGCCGTTCGGTGCGAGGTGCGAGTCGTTCCGCGTTCCGGCGCCCTGCCTCTTCCTCGAGAACTCACGCCTTGCGACGCGTTCGCCCTTTCCCGAAGGAATCGAGTCGTACTTCCCGTGAATCCAGTGTCGCTGCAGTTCGGGGACTGCATTTCGACTGCTCGTCGAAAGGGATATCGTTCCCGGCCTAAGAGGTAACTCTCGTCCGATAGAGGTTATGCATATGTTGGACCATCGCTGGACGGTAATACCTGTAAAAAGTAGAACTTGGCCCGTGACTGGACCGAGTCTTTTGATGCATGGTTTAGCCGAGATATTCGACGTTTAGTGAGGAAAAAAACTCCAAGTGCATTTAACCCTTTCACCCCAGCGGTCCACTTTGTTGAAGATCACCGTCACCGAACGGGACCCCGCACCGAAAATGTCCCCATTGCGCGAATGTCGGATATAATTGATCTTCGTATCTATCGGTCTGTCGATGGATGCCGAATAGTGCTAGAAATGAAAGGGTTAAAGATTAATTGGTCGTGAAATGCGTTTTAATCCAAAAGAGTTTGAAAGAGAATGAAAAGTTATAGGAACTATTGCTTAAGGGGCTATCTTACTTCATGTTTTACGGAGAATTTAAAACAAGAAATTTCAAAATGTCTCAAAACTTCGGACTTAAGGAAGTCAATAATTCCCTTAATCTTTATACTCTGCTCGCTAGAAAGTCGCAACACCTACAAATAGTAATCGATCAAATCAAAGAGTAATATATATTGCGTAGGATAACGTAAAGTGATAACGATTCAATTTTAGTCAATGTAATACTTAGAATTACCGAGGCAGAGTCATAGTTTCCTTTCGTCATGCGATATACGTCGTTACTGGATGTACTCGACTTTGATTTTTATATGATGTGGTTTGTTCAACGAGCAGTAAATACGTTAAGGCGCTCTGCTTGCACTTGAATTTTAATACGCACTTTTTGTCATAGATTTTACAAATCACTCTTCGCGTGGCGTATATCGGCTATTGTACTTAATCAACACGAGGTAATGGAGTTTGAGAAAAGATTTTTTCGTTGCAAAGAGTCCGCGTCGAAGAATGTGTTTACTTTCATATTCGGTTCATCCATTGCTTCCAATTCCTTCATTTCTTGAGAGTACTTTCCTTAGGAATCATTTCCATCGTTTTAAAAATAAATAAAAGTATTAGTGTACGCGGAGTGACTCTTGGCGAAATGAACGCAAATTCCGCGATTTTCAGACCTTTTGCAAATGCTGGTCCTCCGCGGTCTAGAAAATAGGTTGGGCGGTAGGACGAACGTCTTCGATATGTTCCGCTAAAATATTGCAAGCGGGTATAATAGTCTCTCACCTGTTTGTATTATTTGAGAAAATGCGGGGTTACCCGAAATGCAGGGAAGCAAATAGAACCCGAGACCGTCAGACAGACCATCGTTCTTCGTTCATGAAATCCGCTTGAACTTGCCGGTTAACGCTAGAACTACCAGCGAATATTTATTGTATAGGATGGACCATCTGAAACCAGTCATTTTGACTGGTCTTGGTGGTTCTAGTGTTAATCTTGGCTCGAGGTGAACAACAATGATCGCACCTGCAACAAAGTCTCGAGCTGAAGTTAACAATAATTAGCGATATCACCCCGACGCTCACCAAAGAATCGCAACCTCTCGAGTAAACAAGATCAGTGACGTGGGCGAACTTTTTTTTTTGCAAACCTACGTACTTCGCATTATATAATATCCAGATTGAATTATCATATTTCATTTTGCCCAGATCGTGGAAATACATTTGCTAGGTAGAATACAATGGCTATTTCAATTTCCTGGTACGATTGCGTAACCACTTTAATTAGAAGAAACTATTACCCCCGTAAAATATTGTCGTGGTCACATATTTTCCACTTGGGTGGAGGATGACGTCGCCAAGTGAATTATTGACAGTAATCAAGAAATTGTAATTGAAGGTGAAGGGATAAAAGTTCGTACTGGAAAGTGAACGTGAATTTTTTTATTTTGATAGATCGCGTTTACTTTTTGGGTTTATTATGTAAATACTGCAAATGGTTAACACATAGAGACTGTAGGAAATCACGAAAGACTTTAAAAGTGACTTAAGTGATATGAAAAGTACATCCGAGGGGTCAAACGTTTATGCAATTTTTCTCCTAATGCAATGTATCAAATCATTTGAAATTTTATCATGTAAATATGGAAGTCCTATGGAAGGTCCTGCCACCCACACATTTTATTTTTTTTTATAAAAAATTAAACTATTCTTTGTAGAAAAATAAATAAAAATGAAAATTCATGGGGGTCAAGACTTTCCTTATGGCCTCCATATTCACGAGGTAAAATTTCAAATGATTCGATATACTCAGTTTAGAAAAATGTTTCACAAATTAAATCCTTCAGATGCCCATTCCATATCACCTTAGGGTGATCGGTATCAATTGATTCGGTGTTGTTTGAAATATATACATACAGGTGCACATTGTTCAGTTCAAATTTACACTTTCTTTATTTCTCATTTTTACTGGATAAATTCGACGAATGGAAGATGATTAGAAATTGTAAAGATCGTCGTTAGGAGTACACATAGACATACGTTGTTGAGTGTAAAGGTCGATTTTGTTGACTCGTCATTCTTGTAAAGGGTACACGAATAAAAAAGATTAGAGAGTGTAAGAAATCATGATAGCCTCTACCGAGTACCTTGAAGCTTTCTTGGTATTAACTAATTTGTCGTAATTGGGAATACATACAGGTCCAAGCTATTAATCTCATCTCCAAACTTTTATTACGTTATAATGTACGGTATAATGACCAATGGTCTCAAATTATAATCGTCCTAATGCGTCAGGTTTTTGCAATTCTTATCGCTGTCGAGATTTGAGTTACTTCTCTCGCTGCACATAAAAGGCAGTCTCGTTTCATAATGCCGCCGTCGCGATGTCTCGCTACATAAAAGCTGTGATTAGTGCTCCACTTGTGCTAAATTTATGATTGGACGAGGGCGTTTCGGGAGGATTCTTGGAGTCCTAGCCGGCGGAAGTCCTGACGTGTCCCTGGGGATAGAACGACACGACATCGTTTTAGACCATGGTCTACAAAACCACTCAGAGATTTTGCGACGTTGAAGAAAAGATTAGGGGCGTTAGGTATAACTCTGCTTGATTTTGCCATCTTTCATCTTACGTTTCTGGGCTCTCTGGGATGCCGCCATCCCGACGTCCCGACATATCAAACTCGTGACTAAGGCACTGCTCCACGGGTGCTAAATTTACAATTAACCCAGGACATTTCTGAGGAACCTTCGGAGCCCTAACTCGGAATGGGGTCATTCGGGTCAAGTGTGTGCAATTTTATGTTCGAAGCATTACAATGTTTGAAACAATAGAATATTCAAAACGTAACAAAGCAGCTTCGATAGTGTTTAATTTAAATTTGAGTAAAGTTTAATAAACAAAGAAAATATCTAATGTTTTCGTTAAGTAAAAATAAACAACTCGGACAGGATACGTACTGCTGACCTGGAGTGTTGGGGGCGATTTCATATTTGTTTCTAACGATTTCACATTCTGATGTGTGCGTCATATATAAAACCCTTTGAGTAAGCTGTCACTCAACTCGTTCCAAACATGCGATTCAAAACTGAACGTTTCAAGAAAAGAAAAGTTCTTGAGCGAAAAACGACAATGGAGATTGCTGCCTGCAATCTCCAAGAAATAAAGTACTCGGAAACTCTGCCAGCATCCTGCTTAGTTTGAAATCTCTTACGGACCGAGAGAGCAAGATGTTACATTCTTACAAAACGTTTGATTCATCCTCTCCTTCACATCAAACACCTTCCATTTCTGAGGGCACCATCCCAACTCCTCCGCACATAAAACCGATGATTAAACTACTCCGTGATAGTATTTCATATATATTAAACGAACGATTAGCACCAAACGTTTCAAAAAATGAAAACCTTCGAAACCCTACGTTCAATACTGTAACGCAACATTGCTTCTTGCAGCTCACAGAAAATAAAGTATTTAGAAGTTCTAGCTTCAATTAAGTGATAAGAATCAAATATCTCGGAAAAGACCGAGCGATTTCAACCGAAAGACTCAGTAATTTTTAACCAAATATAAATGACACAAGAAACGCACCTCGTAGAAAAAAAAAAGCGAACACGACGTTATATTTTTACAAAACTTATGGTCCGAACTTTTTTTCGCTACATGTTAAAAACTTCTCGCTTTTAACGGGTTTATCTCAAATCCTCTTACGTAATGAAAGGTACATGTAAAACCCGTGGTTAAATTACATAAAAAAAGTACTCCATTCGTTCTAAACATCCAAGAACTATCGAATGATTCCAAGAAATCTTTAGAATTTTTATGCTAAGAACGGTAACATTGTTACCTACAATCATAAGGAAATAACGTCTTTAGAAAATGTGCTACATGTATCTTACTTCGTAATAAGGAATGAGTTACTGAAACAACGATCTCGAACCTATTACAAAGAGAACCAGCGAAGTGTTACATTATCTCAAAACCTACACTCTAAACTGTGTCCCTTGCTGCACATCAAAGATCTCCCGTTTCTGACGGCTTCACTCGAGTTTTGTGACACGTAAAACCCATGACCGAGGTACGTCATGACGGCGCGCCTTTCGCGCCGAATTTATGCCCAAGCCAGGACACGCGTCGGAAGCTTCCTCTGGGTCCTAACCAGCGGAAGTCCTGATGCGTCCCCAGGGATAGAGCGATGCAACGGCGCCGTAGTCGGCGGTCTATGAGAGCTAAAGTGCCCAGCTGTTCCGGACTTGTCAGCCGACTAACGGCGGCGTGTTAGACATATCGCCTCGAAGCTGGAGATAGCCCGAAACTCGAGGCCTTCAGGTGCTTTTGGCTGGAAAGAGGAGGCACTTCGTCAGTGTCATTTAGAACACATTAAACCCACGTTTCAATACGCGCTCGTGTCTAAACCCAGTCGTCAAATGGCACCTCGGAGGATGTCTTCGCCTTCAAGGATAAAGGATCCCCTTAATGAAGCCGACGGCGATGATTTCGGATTTCAACCTCTGATTGATTCCGTTGCCTAATTTCGGGTTACGTGGACCGTTTTCTTGGTTCGTTTTTGCTTGATAAATTTGTTGGGAAATGTAGCCACCATCTTCGGAAGGAAAAGACGCGTTTTATGAGCAACACTTCTTATAATGTATTCTTTCATTTATTTTCTATTTTTTGGAGTATAAAAGAAGACGGACTCGTCTTTTAAAGGATATGCGCGGATAATATGTTTTATAATACCCCATATGCGTTTATTAAGATGTACTTCCTCTTCCACTTTCACATATTTTTATGTGACCATCTCAACTGTCAAAGAATCTGAATTTTTTTTATTCACTGTCGCAAAAGAGAAAAATCCGAGACGCGAATTTTGAGATGCGTAAAATTAACAAAAAAAATGCAGAAAAGAATACTGTACCAAGATCTTTTAGAATTTAGGATATATATGTGCTCCAGGAGGGGTGGCATAACAAAAAAGAGCAAAAATATCTTAAATATAAAGAGGATCTAAAGTTGTTTAATATCAGTTGCTCGACTCTGGATGACTTTTTTGTCGTGCTAGGTCCGGTCTTTCCATTCCACATATATTTTTCATTAATTAAGCGAGTTCCTAAACCTCCGAACACAGCTGTAGGTTGTTATCTTTGCTTTAAAACATCCTTTTTTTATCATGGCCCAAGGTACACGAGTATGTTTCACCATGATCCGCTATGCACTAGATGCTATTTCTTTTTTATATTTTTTCCGATTTTTAAATTATTTCGAAAATGAATATGTCACAAGGATACTGAAGTAATATTTTAGCACAAAAGAACGACGGATTTATGCTTGAGACAAAATCGAATAACTTCCCTCGCGTATCCTTAGTATACAAGTTACAGACAAATGGTTTTGTTCGCCCTCCGACCACAAGTCATGCTTCACAAAAATATTACAGCGATATCGCCTTGTTCGCAATAATAATTTACAAGTAACAACACAATATGCAGGGTGGGTTTCGTTTGCTTACAGATCAACCGGTTCTCTTTGCAGTTGTTTTGCTCCATTAATTTGTAACTAAATTACTCAACTCGCATTAATTTACAAGCAGCGGCAGATTACGAATAAAGACCATTGCCCATAGATCGGGGGCCATATTTTATAGTTGTTTTATTCCGTTAATTTATAACCTAACATCCCAACTCGTAATACTAATTTACAAGTAAGAGCAGATTACCAAGGAGATACCGAGGACCATGGTCCACAAATAGGAAGCCATACTTTACGAACGTTTCACTCCAATAATTTATGACCAAATTGCCTACATTGCAATAACGAATTTACATGTTGCAACAGAATACGAAGGGATGACTTTGTTTGCCCACAGATCGAAAATTAGCGGCGTGGACGTCCTCGAAGATGTAACGCGGCCGCGAAGAAAAGATCGTTTCTTGGTCACCCGGCGAAGAAGGCACGCTCGAAGATCAGCACGTTTTCTCTTGACGCAGACATTGAGGCTACAAAGTAGCTACTTCTTGGACGTTCGACGAAATCGTTGCTTGGGCCAAGAAGGCTCGTCGAGAGATCCACGCGCTTTTTCACGTCAAGGCAGAAGTGAAGAAGTTACGAAAAAGAAAAGATCCTGGGTACCCAACGAAGAAGGCACGCCCGGTGAACGGTACCCTCTTCCTCGTCCACGCAGTTTAAAGAGGCCGCAAAGAAGAAGTCGCTTCCGGAACACAAGTCGAAGGAAACGCGCGTCGTCCTTGTTCGTGCAGGCTAAAGGAGTTGGGATGAAGAGTTACCTCTTGGACAGCTAGAGAAGACGGCACGCCCTTTCGTGTCAACGCGGATGTGAAAACACCACGGAGAAGAAGAGGTCGCTTCGTGGACCCCCCACCGAAGAAGTCACGCCCAGTGAATGGTACCCTCTTCCTCGTGCACGCAGGGTAAATTGGTCGCAAAGAAAAACTCGCTTCTTGAACGCCCATCGAAGGAGACGTACGTCGTCCTTGTTCGCGCAGGGTAAAGAAGTCGGGAAGGAAAGATTACTTCGTGGACGCCCAACGAAGAAGCCACGCCTACGAAACGACCCGTTCTTTCTTGTCAACGCGGACGTAAAGAGGCCACGGAGAAGAAGAGGTCTCTTCGTGGACACTCGACGAATAAGGCACGCCTGGAGAACGGCACGCGCTTCCCCGCCGACGCAGTAACCGCAGCAGCAAAAGAGTGATTCGCGTCGCGCCACGCCGTTGCGTTAAGGCACGGTCGCGGAGGAAAATCGCTCTCATTATGTAACGCAATCGAGTCGTGATAAATCTCTTCTCTCCCGAACCGAGGCGAACTGGCGAGTAGATGGTGCTTCTTGAGCGACGGACATTTTGATACTCCGAGGAGCAGCCTGGATTTATCTCGTTGTTCGTATATTCTTCCTGAATTTTTCGCGGCAAACGAACGAGTATTCATCGCAAGATTCGGTACAGTGTCCGGAATCATTCCGCGGAAGTTTTGGACTCGTCGGCTCGAGCATCTGAAGGATCCAAAGGACAGAATTCGTGAACTCCAGCGCGGGTGGTAAATGAATTCGGCCCCGTGGGGGCCTCTTTTGGATAGATTGCCCCGCAATAGGCGTGCAGCTGCAGCTGCAGAGGATTTCCATCCCGATAGAAAACCAGGTCTTAACTGTGGAGGGCCTGTCGCCGTGTTGGGAGGGCTTCGCCGAGCGGCGCCGCGCAAATGCAGCTGCGGCCCCGACCGTATTTATGAACTACACTGAGCCGGATAGAAGGAGGATGGTCTCCCACGTGATTCCCGTTTCTGGGGTGAGATAATTTTCATTTTCTTTCTTTAATTGGAGGTTGGAGAACGAAGAACTCGTGAAAAGCCCAACGAGTTCCGTCGGACCCATGCAGGAAGGAACGGGGTTTAGCTCGTGAAGCATCGGATGTGTCCTTGTACCGTAACTGTTTCTCTCGAGATAAACTATAATCATATATGGCCGGGTGTAAAAAACTATTATCATGCGCTATTTTGTTTACTTTGTTCAATTGTCAAATTTTAAATCCTGTTTCTTTCGATGCACGTTAGCTCGTGGGTATACCCGTGGATTCACCTTCTCAACTTTTCATCTAGTGCAGAATTTGCGGTCTGCATGGGTTCGTCTCCTCATTTATTCCCTACGTCATTAATCTCTACAGACTATAAAATAAAGTCCCCGGTAGAGAGCTGACGCTATTCGGGCTAGTTGCGAAAACCACTGAACGGATTTTAATACGGTTTTCCCTATTCTACGGAGCATTTCTCCAGAATAGTTTAGGTGTAAGAAAGATTAACCAATGAGAAGAGGAAACCGAGTGGTAACGATTTTAGTGGAGCAAATCGACGAAAAATGGCCCTTCTTGGCTCCCGCGTAAAGCCGGGGCGAGTTTCTAATATCAGTCGCTATCTCTATCATAGTCCTTATTTTCACGTTCAGTTTCCTTGTTTCCGTAAATTCACATTTACACTTGTCTTTACAGTTTCACATTTCCACTTGTTTTCATAATTTTACTTCCACATGCATTTATTTTTACATAAGCTCACAGTAAACTCGATTGTTTATTAAATCCACTCAAGTCCTTCCGGAGAGTAGATCATAAATTCGTTCAACTTCTTATAAACAGTTAGCTTATATATTGACAAACGGTCAATGCACCAAAACGCTGCCCCCGTCCGAGAATTCCGGGAATTCCGAGAAGAGTACACGTTTGTATAGAATTATGCAATTATTTATTCTCGGGAATAGTGTGTGGGTATTCTCGAGAATAAATAATTACATAATTCTATACAACCGTGTACTCTTTCGTACATAGTTATTTAGAATTGCATATGATCAAGATATATAATGTCTGATCTTGTATGAAACGTATATTCTTTATGTATGATCAAATGTAGGATATCACATGTAATCAAAAACGGATGCTACGTGGTTTGATATATTATTGCATAGCTACTAGGGAACAATATACTAAGATGAAAAAACATATCTACTCAGACAGGGCAATATTTACTTATGCATGGATTCATGTATAACAAGATATAATTATTTATAGGTACAGAATCAGATATAAAAGTAATCTAATTATATACATATACAGATCAATATACGTTTAAATGTGATCATGTATACAGGGTGTCTCAAATCCCGTAGTAATTCTTCAAACTGATGGAAGTTAATGTTTGAAGTCTAAAGGTACTTTTCAATTTTTCCCTGTAATCATTATAGTTGGCTAATTTTGAGTTCGAGTTTGAAACACGCCAGGGACCCGATTCTCGAGTTCATACGGATATTTTTCGCATACGAATAGGTTCGCAAAATAAATGTTATATTGTTGGGAAGTCGCGTCATTGGTCAACATTTAAGAGTAATATGTGAAACTGTCAATTTCGCATGCGATGATTGATCGTACGAACTCGAGACTAGGATTCCAGTACCGTCGCACGACGTTCGGCGTACGTCTCGATGCGACAGTGTCCGACATTACCCATTTATTTTTATTTTATTTAGTTTTTTTCTATTCTCAGTTCGTTATTAAATTCATTGTTTAAAAATACAGACCTTTTAAGTAAGAAAATTTGAATAACTCCGAAGCCGTGTCATTACTAATTATTGCGTTTTTAACTAATTAAATCAAATATATGAAAATACTAATTTAGTTTCATTTACTTACTAGATATTCTTTTAGTTCATCATAATTTTGAAGAGAAACTCTCAACTTCAAATATTATCAACTCCCACCAGTTTCAGGAATTACTATCGGATTTAAGATACCCTTTATAGCTATGTCCAACACCTATATTAGATAAATTTCGAATTTTATGATTTAGAAGAAGTTTACAATAAAATACATGTATCGTTGGGTGCAGCAGGAGAGCACAATAGCGCCAGGGTTAGATAGATATAACACGCTATATAATATACGCAGTTTTTTACGTATATATTCCAACGTATAATACGTCCCTATTTTTCTTCGCGTGCGCAAAGTACATTGAGCTCCTCCATTTCTAAATCGAAAATGACAAATCCAATTAAAAATTTGATATTAAACAGTGTTAAGTCGAAAGAATTTTGGACGCAAGCGCCAAATTAATTATTCCTTGAAAATTGTTACGTGTTTACATGTGCACTAAATGACGTTTATAACCTAGCGGATACATACATCGTGCACTTGCGGAAACCACCATATTGGAAACGTAAAATTCTAAGCAATTTTGAACACAAGCGCCAAATTAATTTATTATTCTTTACAAAATATTTCCCTGTTTATATATGTGCTGAATGACGTTTATAACCTAGTGGATCCCGTATATCGTACATTACGGTATCCTTCATATTGGAAACGTAATTTACTGGTTTTCTACGATTTTCTATAATAAATAACTTGATTGACGTAATATACGTGAAAAACTGCAAAAAACGCGAAATTACCCAACCCTGAATAGCGCCCTTCTTGAGGCCGAAAAATATTTAGATGTCTCATATGTCTCTGGTAATTCCATGGTTATTGTAACTGCGTCTTAACGTGAAACCGTTTGCACGTGACCGGCAAAATCGGTCGGGCAGTGATTTTTTTGCCGGTAATAATGTAAATTAAAGAATGTTACATTGTTTTTGGCAGAAAAGTCGGTGCCGGCGCCAATTTTGCCAAAACGTATACAAGCGGCCTGAGTCTTGGATTCGATTTCTGACAGCTCCGAAAAATGTTTCGAGGTTTTAAACAGAGTTTATCTACAAATCCTTACTAACGATCCTTCAGACAAACCCGAAACGAAGTGCTAAATTTGTTAATGAACTCGGCCCAAAGAAAAAATGGATTTTTTTAGCAACAGCCTGAGAAAAATTAATTACACATACTCGTGTACGATTATTTCTAATTCCTCAGATGGAAGAAAATCCGAAAAGTAGCGCGATCTAATCAAATATGTTCATATACATACGTAATTAGGCCGCATCATTTTTCGGACTTAATCACATAATCGTACTTGAATATATATAATTATTTTTTCCTGAGTAAGTTGGATGACGACACTACAGTCACCGCCTATTGATCGGTTGCCTCGAAAGTGATCGAAGACGGAAAATATTTCCGAGCTATCCAAGCGAAATGAAATATTCAAAAGTGCATATCTCGGTAGTAAATGTAACAATCCGTTTCATTCACAGCTTAACCGTGGGGGATATATCAGGTCTCGAAGATCCAATTAAAGTTGACATTTTGTCAGTCGAACGATTGAGGAAATATTTTTTTCCGTTAAGCATAACATGTCAGGCTAAACTTTACAGATAATGAGCGTTTCACGCCTATCGCGCTTAGAAGCCTCCACACCTGTATTCTCTTATATACGTATTTGGCATGAGAGTCTATCGAGTTTCTTAATCCCAGTCTTGAGGTAAACCGAAGAGAATTCATTAAATTACGTCTAAATCATGACGCGTCCTCTTCTCCTTTTGCAAAAGAAATGTAAGAATATTTTGCATTAATTAAGCTGAAATAATGTCGTCGAGAAAGTTAATCATTGTCGGTAAAAACAAATTCTTCTAACTGACAAACAGCCATCTGAAACAGCACGCCATGTTACCGACGTTCTTACTTATATTGACAACTACGTTATAGTACGTTGAGGATTGAATGGAATAACATACTCCATATGTCGTTTCAATAGAATTATTATAAATAAATCGAAATAAAATTCAAGAAATCCCTTGGATTGATGATTTTTTACCCTTATTATCTGCTAAACACAATTCTGTTTTGATGCACTAATTGACCGCAGGAATATCTGTTTCATTTAGTATCAACTAAACTGTGTTCCGAAAGCCCGTTCGTTACACGTGTTAAGGTAAAGTGAAACCCCCTTCAAATCAGTCGATTCGAATACAACACTTTTTTTTAAGGGTATTAGACCAAACTGTCCGAAACTTTGACACATCACTCTTGATCATCTAAGAATTGTCCTGACACATTCTAAATTTGGATTTTTTGACAAAATTTTTTAACTTAGCCCAGACCAGAACCAAAATGGCGTCGAGCTCTCGTATTTCGATCAATATACAATTATCGAAGGGTCTGATATGAGAAACGAAAGGGTCGGGACAATTTTACGACAATTTAGAACACTCTGGTAATCAATAAAATCGCATTTGAGCGGGATAAAGGCAAAAAAAGTGTTATATGCGCTTCTATGCTAAAACGATGGGAATACGAGGTCTCAGAGTGAAAGATTTAATTAACATGGAAATCACAGATAGCGCAGGGGGTCCCTCTGCAATCAATTAAGGCCCCAGAAAGTATGAATCCAGAGGATTGCTGGAGTTTTACTTCGATTTCTTTATAATTATTATACGAAAACGACAGGTGGAGTATGCCATTTGGTACAATACCCAATATAATTCAATACAGCTGTCAATATAAAAACGAACGTCAGCAACGTAGGCGTTTAGAAAAATCTTCTTCATCGACGTTGATCAAGTTTCTCGACATGTTTCACTTCACCTTAACTTCATCTTAACACCATAAGCCGAGCAGAAATGATAATAAGGCCCTGATCGGGACCCGACAAAGACACTCAATCGGGACTCGATGAAATCGATAACGCAGGACCCTCGTTAGGACCTCGTCAAGATATCATCGCTATTGATAAGAAAGAAACTCGATTGAACACGGACAATCGAATAAAATTTAAAGTGCCATTTTGTGAAACATGGGACATTCCAAATGTTATCTGCAGTTACTTTATCAAAGTTGTTTTACCACAAAAATGAGAGATTCAAGAATCGA